AACTTGTCATGCTAAATCTGAATCATACAAAAATGCGCGCTGCATGATTACCAATAAAGCGGCTCACTTTTGAGAAGGCCGAAAGGCAGTTTCTCGCGTGGAACAGGCATGGTAAAGATCTCACAGTAAAATCTGTGATGCTGGGGCATGCATCAGAGACCTCATACATCATGTAAATCGATTTTGTGGCACGACACGGAGACAACATTAGTCACGCGGGATACGCATCTGATCAGAAAAAAAGCCCTCAAAAAAGTTGTGATGCTAGGGCAGGCATCACAGACGGACCGCATGGGCCACACATGCAAAATATGCACGGCAAATCTTCCACGCTTCCAGATCCAGACGCTTTTGCCCTTGATATTCGGCGGACTGCAACAACCAGACGTCGGGGATGGCGGTGGTCTTGATGTCTCCGATGGTGGTGCCAACCGGGGGGCCAAGCTTCACCAATGGGTTATTTTTGCCGCGCTCCACCTGCTGGCCCTGGGGGTTGGTGAAGAAGCCCGGGCGCCCGTAGAGGTGGGCCACCTCCTTCGGACGCGCGGACACATTTGTCGTCATCTGAAGCCCGGCGGGGTCCTTGGACAGGACCCCTTGCAGGCGCTGCTTCGAGAAGGCGGTAACCGTGGAGTACGCGGGACCCGCGTCCGCCGCGACTGCGAACTGCGAAGGGTCGACGGCATACGCTGTGTACAGACCATTCTTCTTGGCGCAGCACATGACTACCGTGCCAACCGTAGGACCGGTGGCAGTTCCCTCCACAGGCTCCAGGAAATCCATTTTTTTTCTGTTTGTCTGTCGATGGAAGGACTACGCCTTGCTTAACTGTGTACAACAATGCAGCTACGCACTACCTATACCTATCTGTGTAGAAAAATGCATGCGTCCAACATAATGCGCCGACTTCGCAGGCATGTGCGCAAAAATGCATGCGGGCAAACAAGAAACAAAATATGTCGACTTCAAATGCATGGATACAAAAAACAAAATATGGACGTCGACTTCATGTGATCCATCTTTGCAAAGAGCCTAACATGCAAAAACAACGGAGGCGGATCTTCTGCGGTGTAGAAGAAAAGACAGAGTCTCTGCTCGGCTAGTGGGTACTACTTTTTGAATTTGATCTTCGGCGCCGTGCCCGAAACAAAAAGAAACAAAGGAAAAAAAAAGCAAAAGAGCGACCTGGATCTTTGCAGCGCCGGGCTTCTGCCTACTTACTTGCTACTAGCTGCGCACTCATACATGCAAGATGTAGTTGGTGGGAAAACCCCATTTCCGCATTGGTATCCATGGGTCAAAGGTGGGTCGTTGGTGGGTCGGGTGGTGGGTCGGGTGGTGGGTCTGGTGGTGGGTCGCTGGTGGGTCGCGGTGGGTCTGGTGGGTTCCTCATGGGTTGCTCGTGGGTCAGTTAGTGGGTCAAAGTACGTATTTCTAAATTAATATTTTATGTAATATTACCTGGCGCTTCATCTTCGGTGGCATCATCCGCGCAAACCCGTGGATCTGCCTCTACTCCCCTCTTTCGTTGCACCGGCTGCACTTTCCTCTTTTGTGCTAGCGTCGCCCGTATTGCTTCGCCTGTTGGCTTCGTTGTTTTTAGTTCGCTGAAGGGTAAACTGAATGCGTCTAGATCGTCTTTTGCTTGTTTCCCCCAGGCTGTCTTGCGATTTATTTCTTGTTCGATTCTGCGCACCGACCCTTCTCGCGTATCCCCCCTGCATGCATGCGCGATCCACCCGATTCTCTTGCACCTTATTTCGTCTTCTATCGCTTGCACGCCTAGCTCAGCGCACAACTCCTCCCTGCTTTTTTCTGCGTTTCTGTAATGTCCACCGAGGACATGCCGCAGGGCACTGTCCTGGAACTGTCGCAAGGAGGTAGCTGCTGCTGGGGAAATTGTCCAGGCCTCAGCGTTGTATAATGCAACGCTGAGGGAGAGAGAACGGAACAAGTCGGCTTTTAGGTGTGTTGGGACGCTGCTGTCTCTCCAAACCGGAGAGACCTGGCGGACGACGCCTAGTGCCAGGCCACACCGGCGATGCGTCTCGGCATCGGTGGAGCCATCACTCCCTACCTCCGTGCCGAGGTATTTGAACGACCCCACACACTCTACTGCTTTTTCGTGGAGCTTGACTGCCTTCACCCCGGCCGGGGCGTCCGGCCGCCCCTTCTGTTTCTTCTTTTGCTCCACCATTCGCGCGACCCGCAGTGTGCGCAATTCTTGCACCGACTTGTTCTGCCGGCAGAGCCCGGCTGTTCGGTGGTAGTGAAGCGCGGTTTCGTCCGCGAGGACATCACCGCACTTCTCGCATGTAAAAACGTTCTTCTCTTCTAGGACAAATTTGCGCAACCCCAAGCGCGTCAGCCGGATACTGGTGCCGCAGTGGGCGGTTGCCCACCCGCTCGGTTTGGACGCGATGATCTGCACCCCAATCGCCGGGTTGTCCCAAACGACGAGATGAGTCGGCGCGACGTCGCCGAGCCCGGCAAGCGGGATGGATTTTGCTGCTGTTTGCCATTCTTTGTCCCAGTCGATCCCGCAATAATCTATCATCCAACCTCTTGCCGCGTCTCTGCTGTCCCGCTCGTCGTTGCGGCCGTACACTTCGTTCTCGCATGCGGCTAGCTGCATCCGCCCGTCGTTGTCTTCTTCCAGTTTCATCACTGGCTCGCCGTCCACAACTTGGGTCGATTTGCAGGTTCGGATTACGGTGTTGATCTGGTCCTGTTTCCACGCTTCCATGATCTCCGGAAACGTCATATCCTTGATTTTCTTCTTGCCCCGGACAGAGGGAAGGTTTTTCTTGCTCCAAGGAGAAACCGGCCGGGAGATGAGGTCGGTGTCATCGTCGGCGTCGCCACTGGCGGCGCTGTCCTTCTTGTCTTCCGGCTGGCTCTGCGGCTCCTCCGCCGCTGTTTCGTCTTTTTCCTCCTCCAAAGTTTTCCACGTGGCCAGGTCCTTGATCTCTGCCCCTTTCACTGAGACGATGTTATTTGCCATGAGGACTGCCACATCGTGCTGCATTTTTTCGAACTGCTTTGTTTTGATGTTGGCGGTCGCGGGCTCGGACTTTCCCTTCTTGCCGTTGCCTTTGTTCTTCTTGCCGCCTTTGCCGCTGCCGGTGCTGCTGGATCTGGTGGATGGCTTGCCCATGATTTGGTTTTTGTGTCTTTTGCGGAGACTGATTTCAAGGGAGGTAAAAACTAAAACTCGAAGGGAGGCAAGCGGTGTGATAATAATAAAGGGTCGATGTGTGTGCAGGTGCAATTCAAAATCTATTGTGCTCGAGGGAGATAAAAATGGACAACTAACAACTCTGATCAAGAGAACTATATTCCAATTTCATGCGGAGCTTGGATTTCGGGCTTCGGTTCGAGGCTTTAAAAAAGTGCTTGCTGCATCCTATCTTTTTGTGTTTTGGTTGATCTTTTCGTCGTGTCTGGATCTACGATAAATGTGTCGGTACAAATACGGGTCTACTTCTCTAAACTAACAGAGTGTCGCTGTTGGAATATTAGCTTTGCTCAGATCCCCCCCCACCTCAGTGGCAGGGGTGTATAAGGATCTTGAGCCAAAATGGCTACGGAAATACTCTATAATATGGAATATTACCTGGCGCTTCATCTTCGGTGGCATCATCCGCGCAAACCCGTGGAGCTCCCTGGCCTGCTGAAGCTGCGAAGCTGCAGCGACGGCGCCCCGCCGCGCCTCCTTTGGGCTCTGCGGCCGCTGGGCTTTTCCATGGAGCTGCTGGCCTCTCGGTTCCCTTAGCAGTTCTAGGACAGAAAAACAACCGCCGCAACAAAGAGAAAAGCGGAACAGCTTCCGGAATCTGTTCGCACATAGAGAAAGGCGGCGCGAACGCCCTCCCGCTCTAGGCAAAAGCTACGCCGAGGCCTCTCAACAAATCAGCGCCTTCGCTTCCAAGCTTGCTCGCTCCCGTTTCCCCGCCTTCCCAGCTTCTCCAGTTTGCTCAACCTTTCGAATCTCCTTCGCCTTTTGAGCCTCTCAAACCTCTCAGCCGCCCCACCCAGTCTTTCCTACAGGCTGCCCTAGCCTTCCCAGTTCCCACAGTCTGCGCGGTTTTTCCCGCCTTTTTCGTCTTTCCACTCTTCCCCGTCTCTATCTTCCTTGTCCCGAAGGCCTGGCCCCCCTGCCTCCTTGTGTTCCGCCGTTGGCCTCGTCGCTTCTGCGTGGCTTTCAAACTGTTCGCAGATAGAGAAAGAGGCCCCGCAGCAGGCACAAGAAAACACGGGAGAAAATGGCCGCCGGAATCTGTTCGCACATAGAGAAGGAGGCGGCGCGAGCACCCTCCCGATCTTTCTAGGCAAAAGCTCCGGCAAGGCTTCCGAGAAAGTCCCGCCGCGGAAAATATGAAGCGCGCCATAACCTTCAAACGCGCACAGTTTTCAAAATAAGCGAACGAGCAAAGATCCACAAAACGGCCCACGCCTGCGGGAAAATAAGCTCGACAGCCAGCGACTTGCCGCGTTGAATGCCGCTCCATAGCCAGAATTACCCGCAAGAGCTCCGCAAAAATATTTGGCCAAGAGCAGAGAGGCCGCGTCTCGAATCTCATCGACACAACCAGGACCCCAATGGCTACCTGAAACTGACTAGCTGACCCAGCCGCACCCTTCCCCCCCGTCCTCCCCTTCTAGTTCTGCTTCCCCCCTCCCAGTGCTCTCGATTTCGCTTCGGGATAGAGATTCCTTCCCCCTGGCTAGTATGGAATATTACCTGGCGCTTCATCTTCGGTGGCATCATCCGCGCAAACCCGTGGAGCTCCCTGGCCGCGCAAATCCGCGGCCAGTATGCTCTTTCCCTCTGCCAACATTGCACTGATGAACGTGTTCGCGAAGAATGTCTTTCCTGCTCCTGCGCGGGCCTCAACTACTACAACGCCAGGCCTAGCAGTTCGCACGCGCTCGGCCAGAACATCGTAGGCGGCGCGCTGCTGGTCCGAGAGGTCCGCGCGCGTGGTCTGGATCTTTTCTTCCTCTCCCTCTTCGACAACGACAAAGCGCCAGCTGCCTGCCTCCGGTCCGCCGCTTCGGTCGGCGCCGTCCGGGCACTTGTGTGAGCCTATTCCCGGCGGCATCGGCGCGCCCCCGCCCAATGTTGCAAGGATTTTGGAGACCGCAAAAATGGCAAAATCCCGGCGGGAACACTGGGGCCGCTTTCGGTCGTAGTCCTCTGTCATTTGCATATAAAATTCCTCGAATTCGTTGGCGCCAAAGTCGGAGTGCGCTATGAGAAGGGCGAAGGCAAACCGCAGGCGCTCCGGGGTGCGGCAGTTTCGCAGCTCTTCTTCGAAATAGAGGCGGCTGCCAGTCGACTCCAACACTTCGAGCAGCTTTCCTCACGGTGCATATCCACACAGAAAAACTCATCCACATCCAATCTGTCATGCAAAACACGCACTTCCATATCAATTGCAAAAGTGTCTGGGTCTGGAAGAGTACAACTTGTCATGCTAAATCTGAATCATACAAAAATGCGCGCTGCATGATTACCAATAAAGCGGCTCACTTTTGAG